TCTCCATACATGTTGTAGAAGAAGTGCAGTATGCAGGTGGTGCTAGCCTGTTTCATGAAGGGACTCTGGAGGGTAGCAGGGCTCATTTGATCACCCCGGATAGGTTCCACTGCCATGTACCAACCTGGATGTGTCAGATCAGAACCTACTTAAAACTGCTGATTGTCTACTCTTATCTGAGTGTGAAACTGCATAAATGCAAGTGTTGCTAAGACTGTGCAAATTGTACAAAAAGACAAAAGCCAGCTGAGATTGTAAGAAGAGTCCAGGTTTAGGAAAAGTAATCTGAGACAGTTTGATTTGACACTTGGTGTAAATGTATTATTATATCTTTAGTGTGTGTATTTGGCCTTGCCAAGATTATTGCCCAGAGTGTGGTCCACGGGTGGTCCTGTATTCCCAGTAACGTTCCTTCCTCTCATCCACCGACACTGGCCAACACTGATGTCCTCCCAGTTACATGTGCCATTCTCAAACGAGCAACCCGCAAACCCTAAATTTGTTTCATTAACTGTGTCAAAAAGAAAACAAAATATTTTCTGTAACTTGCTTTACTAAGAAAAAAGGGAATGCAACAACAGCAAAAAAAAAAAGAATAGCAGTACCTTGACAGAGGCCTGGTGTGAGACCAATGTCATCAATGGCAATGAATCCTCTGCTAGTCTCTGCCTCGATCAGCAGCTGTTTTTGAGAGAGCATGTAAATATGTATATAATATTCCTGGGTTCTAATGTAACAGCTAAATCTGTTTGGGATACCTGGAAAGGTTTGGACGTCTCTACAGAGTGAGAGAACTTGCCCCAGCGGCTCTCACTGCTGTTACTGTGGAACATCAGATCCTCGTCTGACGGCCCTGAACGTATGAACACCTGCAAAGTCCCGGAGTCGCTGATGGACAACAGGAAAATTGTTTTAGTTGAGAGAGAGAAAAAAAGAGAGATTCTTGTTAAAAACAAGAAATGTACATTTTTCATTTCCAAAACTAATAATGGCATCTTTCTGCTACAGGGTTAAAAGGCTGCTGGTTTCACTGTTGGTAGTGCAACTCTATTTGGAACAAACTGAACTCTGCCACAGAATATTCTCAGTCTTGCACAAAGTAAAGCAGGTGATTCACAAATACATGACATTTGTGCAGACTTCTTGAGGAAGTCAGTGAGGAAACTACACAAGATAAACAGGATAAAGTGCAACCTGATTTTTTTTTTTGCTGACCTGTTGTCCATGTGGTACCATAAAGTGAGACAGGATGTGGTATCTTTAAGTTGGATCCATTCAGACACTACCTGTGCAACACTGCTGTGACTTTGGTTTGGTGACGAGCTCAACAGGAACCGACCTCCATGCAAAAAAACCAAAATTCACACAATAAATAAATACAGTTAATATTTAATGCTACTGCCTTTTGTTGTTTTAATAATTCAAACTTGGGGTACACCAGGATAAATGTTAAAAGATTAAACATATCATTTTCTAATGATATTAATGCAGTTGTTAAGGTTTAGATATTTATAAATAGAGAGCATCTAGAATTTAGAAACATTACATGTAGTCAGTTAGGAGGTTAGGTCAGCAACAGGACATAAGTCAGGGATGAAAAAAGAGAAGTATGTTTCAAGTAACTATGTTATGTCAGTTAAACATTAACTTCAGTTCACATAGATCAGGTTGCAACATCATCAGGTTGCAACATCAGCAGTTTTTGATTATAATTAACTAAGTTTCAGATGATTCACACCATCTGTCACATTTTGAAACTTCAAACAAAGACAAAATGTTCTCTGGGAACTGAAATCCACACCATTGGTTGACTTTCTGAGTGTTTAGCTTTAGCTATTTGTAAAGCAGATAATAGCAGTAAGGCTGAGCCTAAACTGTACCACTAGTGTCAGCTAGAAGATATTTAAGTAGTGCAGAGCTGATGGGAATCCCAAGAGTCACCACTTTAATATTATACATAAAATATGTAAGCAAATAAAAAATGTTGGTCAGTGCAGTTTTAAGGATTTAAATGTATTTTAAATAAGTCTGAATACTGTCTATGCCAATGCGGATATCAATGAAAAACTGAGCTGTCAGCCACTAGAATTTGAACCAAAATGAATACTTTCTAAACCAAGAGTGGTTTCTTGATTGTTTTATTCAATATGCCCAAATATAATATGCAAAATGTGCACACAAATCTCCCTAAAAGGCTCAAAAAGCTGATATCATCAGACTAAAATGCAATGGAGGTCATATAAACCCTCGTAAGTCTTGTAGCAAGTCTTGCAAGACGATGGAAAATCAACCCAACATGTAAGAATCTTTATCCAAATGTATCAAAGAGAACTGTTGGCTTATCTAGTTTTTTCCCCCTGTATATCACATTTTTGTGGCTAAAACCTTGACTCAGTAATCCTTGTTTAAGGCCGTACCCTCCGGGCTCTGTGTGGTATGGTCTGTTGGTGGACCGTGGAAGCCTCCTCTGGCCAGCACCCAGTCATGTCCGTCTTCTTGGAGGATGTTGACCCAGGTGCATTGTCCAGACTCAAAGTCACAGCTACCCGGAGGACTACAGGCTCCGTCCCTCACAGAAAAGTCATCGATTTTCACTGTGGTATTCGTGCCATGCACATGAACAGCCTTAAACACCACCTGATCAAGCAACACAGTTGTTTTAGGTAGAATTTCCAGAGAAGATAAAGAAAAATACAAAATGAAACATACTGGAAGAATAAGACTGTCTGATTGTCAGAAAATAAAATAAATGCTTTTACATTGAATTTTGTAGGTGATGACACCGTGACCTCTGCCACCTCCCACCCTGTAGAGAGCCCTCCAGTCTGCTGCCAGAGGACATCACCAACTTCTGCGCTTTGTCTTATATGGATAGCGAGGTTGCTAGATGAGTCTGTGGGTAACCAGTACCTAAAAATAGTACATTTACATTAAATGTACAGTAATATGTGCACCAGTCTTCAACCTCCATTTGTAAATCTGTGATGGATCTTTGAACTCACCAGAAGCGCACACACATTTCTTTAACTGAAGGTAAATCTGGTGTGAACAGCTCAGCGATCTCATCCTGTGTAGAATTTACCATCATGTAGAAACCTATAAAAACAAAATTTGTTTTTTGACAAAAATGCAAAGACGACTGTTGACTGGGACATTTCTGAGAAACGATGACTAAAATCTGAGGCAGAGAGCAATGCTGCTACTTTCAGAGAATTTGTTGAACTCGTATGACTGATTGTGAAAATCAGCTTATGGCAATTTATAACATTCCTGCTTCAGTGGTAAAATATTGTATTGTATTATATTGTCTGTATCTTTAGCTGCCATCTAAAAGGTGTCAAGCACTGCAGAGGATTAGCTAAAAGAAGAGCCAACACCTCGATAATCCAGCAGGCCTGTTAAGTAACAGAATCCTTTTTTAAAATAGAGTTGTATGAAATATTAGATATAACACATCAAATACAGATGATTGGATTGAGTAATAAAACTATGCAGTATTTTCACATTAAAACAATGTGTTACATTATACAACAAATTCCTTCTTGATAATCATTTTACAAGATGGTGAGTCGCATTTTTATTGTGACTTATTATTGTAGAGCTCTGATCCACAAGTTGATATCAAGGGACAAACTTAGGACTTACAATATATTACCATTATAGTTACAGCATAAATATTGTCCTGTTGGAGTGAGACCATGACTGCTCAGCTCTGTTAATCCCGCATTGTGCAGGGACACTGTGTCACAGTTCAGCACTCACCATTCTCAGTTCCATATGTGTGATCCACATGATGCTTTGTTCCTTTTCTGCGAATCCAGCGACCCAAATGACTCACATCATTCTCAAAGCCACACAAGTCCGAGTCAAACCCACACGCATCTAAATGGTGTTTAAAACAAAAAGGTTGCAAAGTTTTATTTTATTTATTTATTTGATATTGATTTGATATTATTTGATGATAACTGGGAGTATTGAGTTAATGTTTACATACCGTGATTACTGCAGGCCCCCTCTCTAACTTTAACATCATCAATAGCAATGAATCCTTGACTGCTGGTATCTCTTTGACCACTAAACACAATCTGTGAATTAAGGATGATGCAAAGTTTAATGCTGCCAAAGTGCTACATTAAATATTTCTGAATTAGAGACATTTCTATTCAGAGTCAGAAGCTAAAAAATAACTTGAAAATTGACTGACATTTTTATGGCATGGTGAGGTTTACCTGTACTATGTCATTCATGCTGAGGGTTACTTTCGCATTCATCCACTCTGGATTCTGCGTTCCCCGACGAGTCCAAACTAAGTGTTCAGATGATTTCTAGAAAAAATTATGTAAAGGAATGTGAAGAAATCTGAAGATGATATAAAGCACAGCCTGAAACTGAAGGTTCAGTTGTGTTAAAATGGTTACATACTGTTTGAACCAGCAGATCCAGGTTTGACACTGAAGGCCCGAGCATGTGATACCAGAAATCAACACAGATTGGTGATGCACGAGTAATGACAGGAACAGAGATGACTGCTTTTTCACCATCCTTAGATCCAAATCCATTAATAAGTAGAAAGAAACCTTGATAGAGAAGGGAAAATGGATGAAGATGAGAATAAAAGGCTGGACTGTTGTGAAAACAGGAGAATACTGTATAGGCTGGGTGGAGTGGATGGAGATGGGTGTCAGAGGTGACAGAAGCATACCAACAAGAGAGAAAGGAAACCTTTACAAGTTTGTTGTGAGATGTATAATGTAATCATGTATGGTTTGAGATGGTGGAACTGACAAGAAGACAGGAGGCTGAGTTCAAGGTACCAAGATTTTCACTGGGAGTGATACACGAGATTAGAAATATGTACATCAGATGGACGGCTCAGGTTGATCAGCTTGGAGAAAAACCTAGAGAGGCAAGGCTGACATGATTTGGACATTTGCAGAACAGGGATAGTGGATATATTGACCGAATGGTGTTGAATATGGAGCTTCTAAACAGGAGAATAACAGAAAGAGAAGTAGTGATGTAGTGAAGGATGACATGCAGAAGGTTGATGTGACAGATGAGGATGGTAAGGTCAGAGTGAGTTGAAGGCAGATGAGACACTGTTGTGACCTCTACAAGGAACAGCCAAAAAAAGAAGAAGAAGAAAGAAAGAAAGACTTTCTTTAGAAAAACAAGACAAAGGATAATTGAGTATCAAAGTTGTTTGTGTCACTAGACTTCTGTTATAAATGCACTGCTTCTGTGTTTATATTAGTGTCAATAATGAATACCTTCATTATTCCCAACAGTATGATCATACTGAGGTCCATCCCATGGTCGCTCAACTGGAAGTCCAATACTGAGAGTCCAGTTCAAATCATGATTGACCTCCTGGACCCAGTTACACAGACCTGTTTTTACAAGAGAGTATTAAAACACTATATAAGTACATGAGCAGCAAAGAAAAAATTGACATACTTAAATTGAGAAAAATGCATGTAGGAGTGGTTACACATTCATATCTATAATATTTTATAGTTATAGTTATATAACTATATATGTTATAGATCATATATAGTGATGGATGTAGCCAATGCATACTAAGCAAAGTCGTGTTATGAAGCCCGGTGTTTTGAACTGGGCATGAAGGAGATGGGATACCAATAATACCAACAAATATTGTAAATTCATTTATATTTCTTTATTGTTCATTGAGCTAAGTTGTGTCCATATATTTCAAAGTCACTGATGATTAAAAGAAAAACACAATGGCAATGATTATGAGCTTTTAGTTGTGGAAAAAGCTCTTAAAGGTAATTTTATGTCTAACATTTTCATTATCATGACCATGATTTGTAAGCTCTAATGCCAGTAATCATAAGAACTTGAATGGCATTTCCTTTTGTAGCATACTATTAACAAATGAAGCTATTTCTGCTAAAATTCTGGTAAATTTTGCACTTTTACCTTCTTCAAAGGTGCAGTCCATGGCAGAGGCAGGAGCACTGGTCATGGTGGTGGTTGGGTATGGTGTAGTGGTTGGAATGAGGTCATCACAAGACATGTTCCTGATTATGTGAACGTCATCCAGGGAAAAGCTGTCATCTGTTGAGGCGGGACACCTGGCTTGTAAAATAATCTGCGATAAAGAACAATAGAAGTTTAAAACTCTGCGCTGATTTATCATTGGTCAATATTTTCAGGGGAAAATCAACATAAAAAATGATGCAATTCTTACCTGGTGAGGGCCTGATGCGCTATAATCCACCCTGTCTCTGATCCAATTGTTATTAGAAAATCCACTTGTATTCCACACAGCACGCAGTCCAGCAGGCTCATTGACAAACACTGTTAGTGTAATGGCTGAAGGCCCTGGGTCATCAAGAGAATAATTAACTGTTATTTCTTTGTTTATACTATGTTTGTTATTAGAGGTTCTCTGTTTGGTTCTTAGTTATGTTTACTATTTATGTATAAGTTATTTAAAGTTTTATTATTATTTTAGTATTTGGAGCCTTTATTTGTTTCTTAATCATGGAGTTTATTATTTCCCTTACTAGTTTCCCTTTGTTTCATTCTCCCGTGCTATCGCTTCTGTTGAGGCGATGCTTAACAGAGGAGTTATTTCTTTATCTCTACATTCATTACTGGTTATACTTTATTAATTAGTTAACTCTTGTGCCTGGTTTTGGGTTTGCTCCCTCTCCTTCTGTCTTGACTATCTGCAGCTGTGACTTGTTACTTTGGTATTTCCACCCCCCTCATGTGTATAAACAGTCTTTCCTCTCAGTTTTTTTTTTTCTAGAGTTGGTTGAACCACTTCAGTGTGCTGTTCTTGACTTTAACTTCAGCCTCAATAAATGGCTCTGCCTCACTTGTCTGTATCAGATCCATGCCTCAATAATCAACACATGACAGTTTATTTAGGGGTTTAAATAACGGCTGAGAATTGATCACAACGACAAGGAAATAAGGTAATAAAAACAAGAGACAGCAATTTATTTTTCTAACACAAAGCACCACTAATGATAAGACTTTTGTTTGGGTTTTTTAATGAATGTAAGTGAAGGTTCAACTGCATGCTAATTTGCACACAAATGCTTTTGCTACTTCAATTTATGGCTGCTAGTAGTTACATTGATGCTATTATTTTGTATCCCCGTTTTTCCTTAATGGACACATGTTACTACAGTAGATTCACTGATCTCTTGACAGGTTGAAATAAATTTTCCACTTACAATGTCAATGTTGACAACTGTACTAAGATCTGGATTGAGTTTTTTCATGACTGGCATTGGACTTAGCATGAAATTACTGTTACACTGTGTAATTAACACTAACATGGTGTGACTGACATTAATGTTGGTAGTTTCTGTCTTTAAGTTATTGTAAAGTTGATAACTATTCATGTTTGACTGCAGAAAAACAGACCTTATGTTGTTTACACCACATATTTGCAAATTGTTAATAAAATAAGATTAATATAAAGTAAAAAAAAAACTGTACTCACTAGTTGATAGCCATGTTCCAACATAGTGCCATATCTCCAGACAAGCTTGGTCAACAGCTGCCATTGATTCACTCTCCAGTTGGGCAATTTCTTCTTTATCAGAATTGGATGCCACGAAAAATGCAAAGTGGCCTGAAAAACATATTTATTTTTTAAAAAGTTGCATCTTCTGATATTTCCTAAGAAGTTGAAGGATATCTTCACTTATAGAGCAAATGCTATAACAGTGATATTGAAGTGAGCCTGTAGTTAAAGTACATGTGTGACATGTAACTTACCTAAAGCAGATTCTGTGGTGTGGTCTCTGGGTGGAATCATTGAGCCATCACTTTTGCTAGAGAGCCAATCCCACTCAACTCCAAACTCTGGGGGAGGATTGTTGACCCAACCACAGAAGTCCCTCTCAAAGTCACAAAAACCTTTAAAGAAATACAAAGACACATTATACAGCTGGATACACACAGTGTAATCAAATCAAATCAATCGAACAAATAAACACTACGATTGATTTGTTATCTAAAATCTACAGTGGCTACTTACCCGTCGGAGGACATGCATCATTCAGGACTATGAGGTCGTCAATGGCAATATCTCTGCTTGGTTCATCCCCAACTATTGCCTCAAAAATCACCTCGAATTCAAAAGCACAAATGTCGTGTCATAGCTCTGTCTTTTACATGACATCCTTTAAAGTATAATTGCTAAAATGATGAAAGTATGTGTTTCATTATCCTTGAAATATGTAAAATGTCTATTTTTTTAATTACTTGACAAATTGCATCAAAATGGTAAAAACAAAGACACAAGGAAAAAGCCATACAGGAGAAAACATAATTAAAAAAATCAGTTAATCAGTTATTGACATCAGCTAATTGACAGTGGCAATCTTTATATATATATATATATATATA